GCAAAAAAATTTTTTAAGCCATGCGTTCAAATATTCATAATCAAATTCCATTGATCACTAGCCTTTTTTTACATTTAGCAATAATTCTTAAAACAAATTATAAGTAAGATAAAAAATACGTACGGTTAACTCTGATTTTTCATTTACAGTAAGAAATCCGAGTAAAAATGGGACAACCAAAATTTGACTTTCTTCACCAATGTTTAAATTTCCTTGCAAAATCAATTGAGCTTTATTACCATCATTGCTAACTATGTATACATTTTGAAATTCATCACACAGTATTAAGTTGTCATTTTTTGTCCAACAAACGCAATGAATTTTAACTTTAATGGATTCAACGTCACGTTTCATAATGGTTATATTTTTTGCGTGAGGATACATTTCATACAGTAACAATTTTCCTAACGCTGGTGCGAACTGATAAACCAAAAGTGAGATTGTCATTGATGCACTGGAAAAAATAAACTGTATTAAAAGTAAAAATTTGCCACATATACTGCTTATAACTTTTTTAACTATTATACCCTATGTCTAGAACTTTAAAAACAATTTTTTTTCGTACTTCTGAAACTCCCATTGAAAATTATGAAATCAGAAAACAAACCTGATTATCTGAATACTATCCATAAGGTTTGAATGGATGTTAGCTAGTTTTTGTCCACTTCTCCATAACCATACTATAACTTCAAAGTTTGGAAATGACGTCAAGCTTAATAAGTAATCTGTACCAGCGAAGCAACATGAAAGATAAGAACTTGTTGTTTCTTCTAGTAAGCATTCCGACACTTTTTCTATTTCGGGATAGGTATGAACAAAAATTTTTGGCCTGGAGCATCGCTCCGCAGTAGAGAATACGTATATCATCTGCGTAAAAGTAAAAATAATTCATTATTACGCCCTTTAATTGTTTTGCACCCACAGGACGTGAAGTGATTAGCGAGCCCAAAGTGTGCCTATGGACGCAAAACAGTACTTTGCACCCTTGGTAAGAAAAATGTTGTTCGCAACTCGAGAAAAAATGCATAAAAATCGTACCCTTCAGACACATAAGTTTTACTTTGCGATTTTAATGCGAAGTACACTATTTTTTTACGTCACATGCATAAACATCAAGTTTACATTTTAATGAATATAGTTGTACAACGTCAAGACACCAGACTGTGTAAAATTTAATCTAGCAACCTTTTTAGACTATAATTTTTATAAACGTATAGAAATTTACATATACATATAATTACCGGATGTCCGGCCAAGCACGAAGCACCGTCACCTCTTGAAGCGCTATTGAAATATTCGATTGTCTTTTCCTTTGTTGATAAGTTAAAGAATATGACATGATTTCCAGAAGTAGTAGCAATCACATCTTCGCCTAAGAACACAAAGTCATGAACTGTTCCTGTTTTAATCCACCTATTGAAAAAATGTAAGTTTAAAAAGTAGATGATTGATATTAATGCTCGTAAATATTATGACACTCAGTACTTAGTTTTCATTGCCGTTTTTAAATTTGATATTCTAACAAATGTCAAAGCCTTGTGCATGTAGACTTATGAATAGTATACGGGAGCATCTTGCGTATGCGCACCAACTTGTTTTGTTGCCAAGAAACGTGTTCCCCGCTTAACTCGTCAGTAATCAATACAGGTATTATTCCTACTTTTGTCTATTTTTAAATATCTGTTTTATTGAACATAAATTAGCGAATTAAAGAATAAAATAATTATTATATAATTACGCCATAACGAAAAAAAACATGTACGAATTGTAAGATTTCAATCAGAATTCTTCGATTTGCATGTATCAAAAACCACATGTATATTGCTATTTCTAATTGACAGTCCAATTCAAAACAGACATGAAAATCAATTAACATTTTTATGTTTACTTTTTTATTTTTTATTTTTTTTTTTTNGATTTTTTCAGTTCTATAAATCTCGTATACCAGTTTTCAGCAAAAAAAAAGTGATAGGTATTTTTGTCAAATGAAACTGATAAAGTAGTTTCTTACAACCGTACCGTAACTGTTAAATTAAAAATAAGAATATCAAAAAATGTTGTATTTTTGGTTAACAATAAATATGATACAAGGAACTGAATTGTTAATCTTTGTTTGGTTTTACCTCATATCCAAGCCTAAAAAATATGACTTGGATGTCAAGAAAAAACTCAGGGAATATTTCTATGGCAGATTTCTCGTACTCACTTCCATAGATGTTTTATTTACTGGGTCTTTATGGTCTCACATGTAACTATGCGTATTCATGAACAGTTTTTTAACACTAAATCCACAAATCAATATTTCTAGAAACTACATTAGAAATTACTGTATTTCCTAATGTCGAATTGCCTGGAAGAAACTCTTTGTTTTTATTTTATTTTTAATTTTTTTTTATCCTTAAATGTGTCTCTACTTAGTCTCTGAACTTAACATATTTAACATAATATGCTGAAATAATATTAAGTTGTGCGTAGAACTTCTAATATCGTACGTGTGGAAATTTGATGTTTTTCGTCACGTTTTTAAAGTGAAAATTTCTATCTATCTCACACAACTATAAGAAATATTTTTCCCATTTTTTTGCGTACTTTAAAAAGGAAAATATAATTTTATTCTCTAGAAACACGTCGTAATATGCTAACTTAATATGTATCTAATAAACATCTTTTTGCAGCTGTCTATGTGTACAGTGCTTCTAAACGATCGAAGATTTGTTGCTACATTTTTTAAAGAATTTTCTAAATACTTGAGAAATTATCTGCAAATTTTAGTTCTAACGTTGTTTAAATGAAATATGGCAAATATTTTCTAATTCAAAAACATTTCTATGATTTAATAAATACGTTCTCAAGAAAAAAATCGTGAGGTTTGTAATTTGAAGTATTTTAAGAACTGAGATCATTCATACAATTATTATTTTTGCAGTTAATAATGACGATCCTTGAAGAGGATAAAACTACTGCATCTTGATTGAAATAGTTTAAAAACAAGTTTCATGCATTAATTTTATTAAGTGATGAAGCAGATTTTTTGTAATTATTGAAAATAAGTAAACAATCGTACTTATACAAACCTCTACCAATGTATGCTAATTATGACAACTCTTACTAATTTAGAAGCTTGAATAAGGTATTGCTTAATCTCAAGAAGCATGAATTGTTATGTCTTCCATTACGTACAAAACAGCTTCGTGCACTGGATTTGGTTCGTCAACATAATTTTAGACTACGCAATATAATGGTGGTATGCAAGTGTATTTACTTTACATATGTTTATATCAAATAGCAGCATAATACAAACTAATAATTTCCAACGATTTTTACTGCTGTTACATTATCTAAAATTTTGAGACATAAATAGTGCACTCCAACAAGTGAACGACAATAAAACAACCTTAGAGAGAACGATTTCTTCTTTAGCTTTTCTGGCGCGTCGCAACTGAAGACCAGCTGAGTCGATAAAACCCGTTCATCGACAAAGACGTGCGGGGAAAAAAAGAAAAACCCTTCCCACCTCTACTGTGAAGCTACGACAAATCGATCAACGTCGCGATTTATCGAACATTGATAACATCATCAAAAAACCCTATGAATCGTGTAACCCACTCAGCGGTAAAAAAAAAAAGAAATTAATGATTTGAGACAGTCCTTAGCATTCGAGATTGAAAACAGATTGAGAAAATTATTTTTCAGAGCTACTCTTTAAGAAAGGAAAAAATAAATAAAAGGGAGTCACCAAAATTTATGATTCCTTGGATGATACTGGAATAGGATAAAGAGGTTGTTCTCGTCATCGGAAATTGTCAGTACAGTCATTATGCTTCCTTTATTTTCTATATAATTGCTAGCGCTGTTATTATCCACAGTTGCAAGAGCAGAAACTCAAAATGCAGAGGCCAGGTGTGACGCTTACAAATTCCTCTCAAGTCAATTACGAAACTTCGTTATGTTATTCGCAAGAGAAGTTATTGGAGTGTTTGGCAGAGAAGATGATAATAATATAGAGAGTAGGGAACGTACGAGTAATATTTGCGAGTTGTGACTCCTCACAAATCACGTGGTGACATTGTTACAGAGACATGTGTGGGTGGGTAATAACAAAACAAAAAATCGACAACAATAGCAAAACGCGCCTGCCCTTAAATCTTAGCCGTCCGACTCCTCCGTCCACAATGGGGGCTCAATTATTCACCGTCGCCCTAATAAATGATCGCGACCCACATCCCGGAGACCCGTGCAGAGACATCGTTTCATTACATCAACCATTCCCGAGGAACTGAATTATTCCCGGGATAATGTCATTTTGTTAATCAAGAACGAACCAACTCAGCTATCCGTCAATTGGACACGAGGAGGAACAGGACGATCAATACCGAGGTCCGTGCCCCAAACATGTTCGACGTACGCATAAAAACGACCGGCGTAAACAATCGCGGATCCATCCCTCCAGCGCCGAGAGAGAGCGGCACACCTTGACTCGCTCAACCACCGGTGGACCGATCGATGGACCAGCACGACCATATCTCCAGCCGCTAAGGTCCATGAGACACGCAGCATCTCTTACCGACCCCTGGTTTCCTACCACGCACCGATAACCCCTGATCCATCGACGACGCTCGCATTGGGACGCAGGCGCGCCCACACACGCACGCGGTCTCGGCGCAGCTCCGAACTGTCGGCCAGGACGACCAGCTTCTTCAGACGACGCTGGCACTTGAGGCCGCGTGCCGTTCTGCCAGCCCGAGCTGGTGCGTCCACAGCCTCTTAGCGCTAGGCAGACGGGTCGCGAGTGTGTTTACGTGCGCGCGTGCAGTGAGTTTCGAGACGCAAAGCCCCAGTAGTGGCGTATAGAACGGAGCTGTGGTGACGGCTTCGGGTGGCAGTTTCAGCAGGGAGGAGGAAGGTCCATGAAGTCGAAGTGGAAGTGAGAAAATTGGCGGGCCAGCTGCGGCGTGCGCTGGGGGGCCAGGGGTGGAGGATTCTCCGGGATCGATAGGCGCATGGCTGAGGCCAGACTGGCACTGCCCAAGGTGACCCGAGCCGGCATGCCCACCGGAGGAATAGGGGCTGGCAGCATAAGGCCAGCCGAGCTGCAGATGGACCCACGCAGTCTGCCCGGTGCCACGTACCAGCTGCAACAACACCAACAACAGCCAAGGACAAAAACGCCCACCTTGCCCCAGCAGCAGCAGCAGCATCACATGCAGGTCAGTGAATCCTAGCATCCTGTTATTGTCTGCGTGTATTTATCCTCATCTCTCTTTTTGGGAGCGCGCGCATCCTCCTGGCACGTACCTCTCGGCTTGATACGTATATGTACATGCAATCTTATCCCTCGCCCTCCTGCACGCATAACCCACTTTTCCATTCATGCGCACCTCCAAGCCTCGTCCATCCATCCTGGAAGAATAGCTCGCGATAAGGTTAAGCCCTCTTTTTATTTCCTTAAATTGAAAATCATAGAAATCAGTATGGCATTATACGGGCGAACATAAGAAAATGCCATTGAAGTGATGGTAACAATGGCATTTGTTGTTTTTCATGGACAGGCCCATGGGGGTTTGGGGGGACAAAAGTGCCTAAAGGAGATGGGTGCATCTGAATTTAGTGTTGGACAGTCGAAGTGTAGTTATTAGCTCCAAACTGCAAAATACGTATGCACGTGGTGTGTGTGTGCAAAAAAATTTTTCTTTACGTGGCGGAGAACAATCGTGACATAATTTTTGATAATCGTCAGGGTTTCAGTACTTTTTTTCAGTCTGTACTATGTGTGGTTTGAAAAAGTTAATAATCATAAAGTCCAATCCACCCAAAACAATTCACTTCTGTGCCCCACAATCCACGCTCTCTGGCACATCCAACAGATGACAGTCCCAGCTTATCCTTATAGAGAGCACGCATGTTCATACATATATGTATACACACACCGTGATGGGTTCTATATGCGGCTGACCCAATTAAGAGATTTCTACTTACAGCTGTAAAAATGCGCAACTGTGTGGGTATACGCGTCCCAGCTATCATACGTGTGTTCTTTGTCCCCGCCCACTCCCGAAGCATAACAATGACACACAGCACGCATGAGTATTCAATTAAAGCTCGGGCACGGAGATGTGCCTGCCTGTGTATGGGTGATTCCGTGTAACTGACTAAATCGACTCCCTCAGCTCTTATGCTCGTACTGGGGCGAAGGGCATTAATGTGAAGGTCAGGATTTTTATGAAAAAAGTTGCACTCTTTTTGCTCCAATCATTGAAAACATAAAACAACTATTAAAAAAAAAAAGGTCACATTGTCTTTTATCATATGCTCCAACTGTGGATACAGGTCAACAACTTTGGGTTGTTGTCGATTTTTTGCCACCAATATTGCAAAAAAATTCCTCTATTAACAATCCAAAAAATTCGCAAACAATTTGGCCCGAAAACAAAATTGAATCGAGTTCTAAGCCTTACAAATAAGTTACGTACAATGATAAGTTTTTAAACTATGTTATATAAGCGAACAATCAGCTGCTATGTTTTTAATCTATGTTTAAAACTCTCACGTTACCAAGGGCATGAACTTTCAAATTTTAAGTGGATAAAAGTATCCATCTTTTCCGTCCACGTTCATCCCGCAACTCGTATTATTTTTGAAGATAGGAAATATGTGCGTTTTCTTGAATAAATTTTTAAAATCTTCCTCATGCCTACGAGCTGTAAAAGCTTTTCGAAGCTTGAAATGTCCTTTCCCTTCGTATCAACAGTAAAAGTATCTATTTTTCACGCTTTATGGCAAGGGATTACCACCAAACTTTTTTTCACCTCTGTTGGGCTAAAATATTAGACATGTGTCTCACCATTTGTATAAAAAAGCCTTTTTTCCCGTCATCCAGTGATGGTAGTGCTACTTTTAATATTAGTAGCAAAGTGGTACACTACTTTAAAAGGTTCTAAAGTAGCTTAAGTAAAAGCTGAGGATCAAGCTTCATCGATTAAAAAAAAGTTTTGTACCCTTTAATACCACCGTTTAGGAGTTATAACGATTTACAATAATATAATGTATTTTCAGCAAATATCTCATTTTTAATTTGATTTCATAATTATTCTTCCAACCTCAGTAACTTTTGATTGGTAGACCTTCATTGAACAAAATTTTAAACCGATAAAGTTTATTTCTTACTTTTATTTGAACCAGCAAATCATACTCCAACTATACGAACAGATAACCTATACTTACCAGAAATATAGACGTAATTTATCCAATGATTGACTAAAACTTCCTCATAAAAAATGTTCTCCTTTTTGACTAAATGATATTGTAATGAAGTCGCTTAAAATACTTTTAGTGAAAGGTATTCATCATAAATAAACCATGAAAAACACTGTTTTCAACCAACTTTTTTTAAAACCATTATCCAAGTCATTTTGCGTCAGCTGAGCTGGAATTACCCATACAAGCTTTATGATGCTTAGTCGTGTGTTCTCGTTTGTTCATCCCATGTTCTCCTTTTCTGTCGTGGTCACGCATAATTGATGGCGTGTAAACATGTATATGGTGTTTGCAGCACCTGCTGGGGTTTGTTGATGTTTAAAATTGGAAATGAAAATAATCATTTATGCTTTATCCCTTTAACCTATAATGTTGTTCTTGTCATTTTTTTCTTTGGATGCATTGTTTAAATTTTAATTTGGTATAGCTGTAGTGATTTCAACTTTAATTAGTTTGAGTCCTAGTTTTATTGTTCGATATATTCTACGTCGACGTTTTTAATTAATCCACTGCACGAGTCCTCTTTTAAGATTCACATACATAAATACATAATCCACAAATAATTCTCAGGAGAAATTATAATTCAGAAAAAAATTTCTTTTGATAAATCACCCCGGCAGAAGTTAAATTTTTCCTGAAATTAGAGCTTAAGCTGTCATCGATTACTACATGTATAACTATCAGAGTGAGAGCACACCGTGTCTAACATAAATATCACGTTGATATTTTTTTTCACTTCTGTATCGTAGTTATTTTAATACATTACGTCAATCAAACATATTTATCTACGCGAATGTCATTCTGTAATATCCCATGCTCATAAACTCACGTGCTCATCTTTTTATTCTCGTACCTTTGACTGAAATAACATTTCCCCCGGGATTTCTGTTATTAACTCTTTTCATACCTAACATGTCCATTGCGTTGGTGCACATAGGGATGATTCGCATGATTGACGTGATAAGTTTTTCATTTATTATGTACTCTAATAGGTTCTATTTTTCAATTACGACAAACTTCAAATACGATACATTATTAAATAATAGGCATTTAGCATACATAACTACTTGTGCAAAAGTTACTAGAAACAATGACTAGGAATCCAAGTACAGTACAATGCAGTAAGTACTCCTTAATGCACTTGACTTAATATCCACACTTATACGACTCATAAGGGTCGAGTTAGATATTTTTTTGTTTAATATTTTCATTACACGTACCTTTTTGTAACCAATTTTTAACTTTAAAAAAAAAAGCTTTATAAAGAAAAGACGATTTCTTATTTTCTTATTAATGCTCCTTTTATACATGAAAATGATGGTTTTTTTTTTACTGTAATTCTGATTACATTGCATTGAACCAAAAGTTTATGAATACTGAAATATTTGTATAACACACGTTTAAAAATTTTATGCTCGTGCATTTAAAGATATGGAGAGTAGAGTATAAAGCCACTGCTATTTTTCTCAAACCTTGACTAAAAAAATTAAATCGATATGATACTTTTTCATACTCAAACTCAAGGTAGTAGCTTTTTAAAAATCAAAATAAAGATGTTACTTTTTTTTGTTATTAAATTGATTACGCATTACGTTAATGAACAGTTCAGACTAATTTTAATATTTAACAAAGTAAACGAGATGTTTGTCGAAACTAATATTTTATTAGTTTTTACGTATAGATAGATACATGATTTCTTTCTTCAAACATAGAAATTTTCTGTTTTACTTTTTGTTCAAACTTTTAATACTCTAATTGTGAAGATGGTAAAAAAAAAATCCATTCTAATTAAGTTTGTAATTTCTAATGATTTATACACAAGAAAAATAAATTTGATTGTTTTGAAAGTTAATTACGTCTGCTCGATTCTTGGCAGTATTTACATTTAATTTTATTGATTCTACATAATTTAGATAACTTGCAAAGTGCCTTACAACCTACTATTGGTCATAATACTTTGTTAGAACAGAAAATAAGTTATGACGATTGTTTATGTTAAAAGTAATATACTTATGCAATTAAAAAAAAAAAAAAATTTTAATAAAGAAAAATGTCCGATTCCCCAATATGATGATCCACAGGTGGACGTGTCGACTCAGGTGGACCTCCACGATACATCGTCGCTGCAGCGCGGTACAACGCCGCTTTACTCTCGCGAGGACATCAAAGAGCAGTACTGCATAACCAGCCGCCAGCTGGACGCCGTGGACAAGTCGGGCAGTGGTATATTCGGCTGCCTAACGAGCCGCGGACCCTCACCCTGCAGCGCATCTGCCAAGGCTTCCATCCTCTCGGCTTGCGTCCGCAGTGCCCCGAGCGAGGAGAACCTCTTCGACGCGCCCTACCCCTACCCCTACCACAAGCGCGTGCCAGCCCCGTCAACCCTCTCGGCTCGCGCAATGATGATGCCCCCCGTTGTGTATCAACCACCCTACTCGACCTACCCCCGGCAGGTGGCCTTCACGCGCTACCACTATCCTCTGAGCAGCTATCCAGGTTACGACGAGGACGACTGGTTAGACAGTTCCTACATTCCACGCCGGCTCAAGAGTAGTCTAGCCACTTTCTCGGATTCCAAGAGGTACGTAAGTGCTCATATCGAATTGAAATATATAAAATGTGGTGCTGCGATTGTTGCAACAAACATATCTTTTTGTGGTTATCACCAAGACTCATCAATTTAAAAGAAAAAAAAAAAAAAAAAAAAAATTTTTTAAATGTACTACACTTCCAAATACGTAAGAATAAAAGCATACAATGCAATTTAGTACGGATACAAGTGTTGGAGTAGAATTTAATATGAGAAGCCATTCGAACCTACCAAGGCTCATCTCGTTTTAGTAAATGTATGCATATATTGTAAAACACATTTAGATTTTTGCCAACAAGAATTGTTACTCCAAAATCTCTTTTAAAATACTACCGTCGACTGTTTTACATCACCCTTACATGTACAGTTTACCAAAAAAGTTTTCTGAATAATAATGATGAAACTTTTTTTTAACATAATTATTTCTAATACAAGATATTTACAACTATGGCCAAACGCTCTTTGCATCATGATAATTGATCTTGGTAAAATATATTCTATGTTTTTTATAAATACATTCAAAACCACCGAGTATTTAATTCATTAGAGCACTTCAATGATGAAACTAAAAAAATTATGTACGCCTGACCAATGCTGTACTTATACTACTTATTCCAGCGAAATATCACACGCATCTGTCCGTTGCAACAAATTAAAAAGTCAACTCTACCTCAATGCTCTGCCACGAAAAAAAAAACTTTTTTATTTGTAAAATAAAAAGAAGAACTGTTTTGTTTATTAAATGCAATTATTTTCAAAATAAAGTTACAATTACTTAAAACTTTAACTTTGAGAAAGGGCCGAAAAACTAATATATTGGCACATAAAAAAAAAAATTCCTCAATTTTTAGTTGTTGATGAAATTATTTATGTTTTTGATATTTCTACATGTTTTAATATAATTTAATTCCAATTTACCACTACTACCTTTCCACCCCTTATCCCATAACTTTCTAGCTTGAACTTTTTAAAAATATTACTTTAGTTTATTTGCTTAAAAATAATATTGAAAATAAATTACTGTTATGAAAAATTTTTATACTACTATTGATGTAGTACAGCTTAAATTTTATCAACTAAATTAATTAATTAATTAACTTAAATAAATCATCCGAAGAATGTAGACGAATAAATGATCCAAAGAATGTAGACGAAGACCAAAGTATTTATAAGCCAATTCTCATCAATAAGATGTACTGGTCCTTCAGGTATCACCATTATATTAACGAAGAATGTGGTTTTTTTACTAAAATAATCGTGTGCTGCCCTCCTCCAGATACCTGGAGGACAAATGCATCTTTGACGTGTTTTGAATTAATTAATTCAGGCTCGTATATATCTTCCTCTTTACCAGTTCCTAACTGACCTTCCGAGCCCATGCCCCAGGCATAGAGTGTTCCTGAAAAAATTGTCAAGATTAATTCGCTATCGTATGTTGTAGACATTAATTTTTATTTCGCATACTATAATGAGACTTACCAGTATTTGTGACGGCAAACGACTGTGCAGTACCAGCTGCCACGTCAATACACTTTAAGTTTTCCAGCTTGGGCACTGGAATCAGCTCCTGAGCATCCTCGCATAGGCTTCCAAGGCCTAATCTTCCGTATTCCTTACGCCCGATTGTATAAACTTGTCCTTGATCGTTCACAGCAACTGTGTGATGCTGACCTGAGCTAATTTGCATCCATCTGTGTCTGCTGAATGTGTGCGAAACCTTCGGATGTAAGGTTTTATCACATCCTTTAAGACCTAAAATTAAATGAAAAATAAGTTATTCGAATTAGGTCAAACATTTATTTTAAAACTTTTCTTATAAAAACTAACATACCGATCTGATTATAGTTGTTAAGCCCACTAACATACAGGTCACCATTCCCTGCTTCAGCGAACGTGGAAAAGCTACCAGCCCAAATATTTCTAATAATGATATTTTTTTTTATGTGAAAGTAGACTTTCTCTGGGGTGAGAAGTTGGTCCTTTCCCCGTCTACTATGTCGGTCTAGTTTTCTTACCGAAACTCTGCCGAGCTGGCCCTGCTCGGCACATCCAAACGTAAATACTGTCCCAGTGATATCCAGGAGAACAATATGATCTGACCCAGACGCTATTTTCAAAAATTTTGTGTTATGTAGAATTTCAATTGGAGTCTCTTCTTTTTTTCTATTGATTAATCCTAAAGTTCCGTGTGAATCCTACAAAGTGAAATCATGTGACAATTTATTAGAATGCTTATTACTGCTACCTGAATGATTAATTCTTAGTTTTTTTCATCATAAATTAACAAGCTTTCGCTTACCCGAAATGCTCCCCAACAATAAACCCTCCCATCTTCAAGAAGAGCGGCACTGTGTGAATCACCCGCGGTTACTTGTATAGCCCGCCCAGGCAACTCTACAAATCCTGGGGTAGCTTCTCCACACTCTGTAATGTCTCTTCCCAATGCCCCCTCGTCGTTACAGCCAAAGGTTGCAACGCAACCATCATTGGTGAGGATTATGTTGTGCATTCCTCCACCAGCTACGGAAATAACATCTTTTAATTTCGAGACTTCCGTGAATCTTGTTTTTTCTAAGACTTCCTCTCCTAGTCCCAGCTGGCCAGTGTCCCCTTGGCCACATGTAAGGGTAGCACCACTGGTGCTCCCTTGTCGGCGGATCGCCTTAGCTACTGGATCTACAAAATGTGAATTATCATTATCTGGGGAGTACTAGATTTTTATCGATTTTTATAGATATGGTTCAAAATGTGCAAAAAAAACTAGAATTTACGTACCCTCAATCTGCAATATCTCTTGCTTTGTATTACAAGTTCTAGCCCGTTTTACAGGTATGGCTAACTTGTCTTGCCATACTGAACACTTTCGCTTAAGTGTTACCTCTTTTTTTGGTGGCACTGTTGAGAAATAGATAAACAAAGGGTTATTAAGTTATACTCAAATGAATAACAAAGCAATAAAAATAGCATATGTGTATGGTAATAGGTTTAAAAAATGAATTATCTATTTAATACAGAAGTTAACACAGTTGCGAAAGACCTTTCGAAGCTATGTCATTGAGCCAGTTGAACGATGATAGTAAGCTTGTTACACAGTTTTTTAAAAAGCAACTGTTACCTATTTGTGCTTTTCTACTGTTTGTAAGCTATTTAGTAACGCATATAATTGTCTAATATTAGTTTAGGTTTCAAAAATACAAAAAACAATCACGTTTTTGAAGATCACGTGGGATTGCCGTTGTTAGGTTTCAAGTATAGGATAAGGATTGTTCGCTACCACAAGATTTGTAAATATATTAGAGCATCCATGTACCTATACTCTTCTTTTTTATCGTGTATGTATTAAAATCTATCATATAAATCGCAGTATAAAAATGCTTATTAGAAAACCTAAATCAAAGTTTAATCAGCGTGGGTCACCAGATGCATTCTTTATCGTATCTTTCAAGGAGATCGGTTTCTCAACAATTTTTTTTCTATATTATAGTACTCTACGTCCGGCTCCTTTAATAAGGGCACTACTATGGGCACTTAGCATTTGGGAAAGGGGCAAGGAAAGGAATGGGAGGCCTCCCATTACTGGGAGGGGAAGGGAAGGGGGAAATTAGGCAATTTTGCTACGAGAAGGTAGCCCTAAAAACCCTCCTTGAGAAGCATTGCGTGATGAAAAAGCACATGTTAAAAATCACAGAGAGACTTGCCTGAAAAGTCGCACTGACCGGGAATCGAACCACGGTCTCCCGCATGCCGACCCACGACCTAGCCGACTGAGCCACTGCGCGCTCCTCAACAATTTTAAGGAATATTTGTTTCAAATAATCCTAGTAACTTTTATTGGTGTAAGAGTATTGGATCAAAATACCTTTGGAAAATTAGACCTACATACTCAAATTTCTGAGGTAAGGTCAAAAGTTTTAGGCGAAGTGATTCTGGCAAGCGTAGCTAGAGAATTAGTCCAGTAGTATTTTGGCGTAGTTTAGAAGATTAGAAAATTTTAGTGGGTAATGCACGCCTTTTTCAAGATCGATCAACGCAAATTCTCTGCAAGGAAGTACAGTTATCTGCGATTTAAGTAAGCCTTACACTGCAAGATAGTATGAGTGCGTGTGTGCATTGGACTCTGATAGACGTTCTATCGTGAAAATTGTACCTAACTTAAATGAAAAGAGTAGAGTCTTAAAGTATGACCTTGAAGTGAAGGTTCAAGGCGTGACGCGCTTGGCAGCGTGATCATCCACCGCGAGAACTGTGATTAGTTTAATGGGCCATATTCTAGACCTATATTCCTGGTGTTCCATGATAAGTGGCTAATGGAAGTGACAAGGGTGAGTGGTTTTCTAGAGTGTGGTGAGCTGACTTGGAAATGACGGTTGAATTGCATTAATACTTGTGCTGCAGCGTGTTTAGTTTTAAACTGACGAATTCTCATACTTTAGGTAACAAAGCTCTCTTAGCGCTATATAAAAGGGTCCTTGCGACCTTACGTGTGCGATAAATATATAATTATTAACAATATAATATTTTTAATAATATGCGTGAATACTATAAATCTCTCTCTAAAGTCACTTTTCTGTAATTTTGTCTCTCTTTAGAAACAATTTCCTGTCTATGTATTATTCCTTTTTCATTGTTTACGAAAAGTGTCGGCTTGCCCAGGCTTTCTCTCCAGCTTTTTATGTCTAGACATGCTCAGTCTTTTACCCGCAAATGAGCAACGAACTTTACTTATCCGTCCTTCTTGTTGTTGTACTGTCATTTGATACTAACGTAACATGCTCATCAGAAAATAGACAATAAGTATCGCAAATCATGTGAACTTAACTCAATATAATTTAACAATTTGAAGGAGACTAAGAAATCATAAAAAAAGTAAAGAATAGTTGTCTCATGATTTAAAAAACCTTTAATTTTATAATAGCTAATCACAGTGTATCTTGTGGCTCGGGTTACTATAATTTTGATATAGCTAAGTACAGCAGTATCAGTGATTATTCGCTTCGTGTAGCAATTTAACACAATGCCACCAGCAGAGGAAGACTTATCGATATTAACTAACAATAAAACATAGAATTTCATAGACAATGATCGTTAAAAGCGTTTATTTCAACAATAATGTATATTCAACGACTGATGTAACTTTTGTACGTGTTGAATATTCTTATAAGTTGAAAATACCTATTTTATAGTTCTGTTTAACGCCCGTCCGGACCACTGTCTTGGCCGGTATTTGAATTGCCCGGTGTCACTAACCAATCGCCCGTCCTGCATTTTGGAGAGGTCTCTAGCGAGAGCAGCGTGTGTGGCGCCCTCCGAACGGTGGGCGCGTCTGGAGTGAGTCGTCTTGAACGAGTCAACACTGCATCACCGTTTTTTTTTTCTCTTCTAGGTTTTGTCTCATCTACATAGTGTTCTTTCACTTGAGACTCTACTTGTACCGAATTGAATGAACCGGACGAAGCTGCCCCAGCCTGGCATCGGGAACTTGTCTCCCTACTACAACGCTTTTGGGAGCTCTAGGACCTCAGACAGGCAAGCAGTCAGACGCCCGCTGACATCGAATGCGATCGGACTTTCTCCGACCATCGGCGCGACGAGAATGGTCGCTACATAGTGAGGCTTTCCTCGAAGCAGGACGCCCTCCATCTCCTCGGCGGCAGTCTACAGAGCACCCGAGCATCCTTGAGGTCCCTGCAAGCTCACCTTCATCGGAACCAAAATAAGGCCATCGAGTACTCTCAATTCATGGACGAGTACGTCGCGCTGGGCCATATGAGGCCATTGTCCGATGCTTTGGTCTCCACGCCGATTCGTTCCGTATATAACATCCCACACCATGGCATCTGGCAGCGCGGGGATCAAGGATCAAAGCTGCGCGTCGTCTTTAATGCCTCGCACGCGACCTCGAGTGGCTACAGTCTCAACGATGCCCTGTACACCGGGCCCAGGCAGCCAACATCGCTTCGCGTTCTTCACCGACGCCCGGATGATGTTTCGCCAAATTCAAGTTAACCCTCAGGACGTTGACCTGCAACTCATTGTGTGGAGCCCAGACCCAAGCATTCCGCCTACACACTATCAGCTGCTCACAGTCACTTACGGCGTTTCTTGCTCGCCTTACTTGTCACTGCGGGTCATCCAGCAGTTGTGCGAGGATGAAGGCCACAGGTAGCCTGGAGCTGCAACTGCTGCTATACGTGATCGCTATGCAGATGACATCCTATCCGGCGCTGACAACCTCGATGCTGCACGTGAACTTCGAAACCAGCTTATCTGCCCGTAGCAAGCTGGAGGGTTTCCGTTGAGGAAATGGGTAGCGAACGTGCCTGAGCTTTTAGACGATCTCCCAGAAGAAGAGCGCCTTCGCTCCACTTGGCAAGAGCTAGCCATTGATGGTTTTGTGAGTGAACTCAGTATTAGCTGGGATCCAGCCTCAGACCATTTCCGTCTTACTCCTCCCCGAGTTCAGGCTCAAGACACGAAGCGGAAAATTCTCGCCGCTTTGGCACGGCTTTTTGATCCGTGTGGCTGGCTGGATCCTACCATCCTGAACGCCAAGTTTCTGCTCTAGGATTTATGGCGCGCTGGACTCGACTGGGATGAGGTCGTGCCACCGTCAATGGCCCGCCGGTGGTCAGCTTTCACCTCCGAGCTTCAGGCGATCCATGGGTTTGCTATCCCATGATGGATTGGATGGTCGCCCGATTTGGATCTGCAGCTCCACGCCTTCTCCGATGCAAGCCGCCACGCCATGCAGCTGTAACTTTTTCTTGACTTACCGACTCTACAGGCTTAGTGCGCTGCCACATTCTTTTGGCTAAAACCAAGCTCGTTCTAATACGATCTCTAAAGCCATCTTCTTTGCCCCTCCATCGGATGACGATACCTCGTCTTGAGCTCCGGGCCGCACTACTCGCAGCCAAGCTGCTTCAATTGACATCAACGAAGCTCGGACTCCCTATCGAAAACTGCCGTGCGTGGACTGATTCCCAAATTGTCCTGCGCTGGCTTCGTTCCATGGAGCCCACAGGAAATGCCTTGGTCGACAACTATGTTGCCCATATCCAGGAGCTACTACCGTCTAACATCTGGCGCTACGTGCCAACCTCATCAAATCCAGCCGATGTCGAGTCCCGTGGCGCTGATGCCAGCCAACTTCATCTACAGAGCTCGTGGTGGCATGGTCCAGCATGGCTGTCGAATGGCCCGGAGTGTTGGCCGCACGAGGATTTGGTTACACGGCCACCGACGCCTGTAACCTGCTGCGTCGTCCAGCGGCCTGAAATCCATCTGCTCGATCGATTCTCCGACCTTGGCACCTTGCTCCGAGTTCTTGCTCGTTTGCGTCGGTGGGTTCGTGCTCGCCTCGGTCGGACACGTAACCGGCCAGTGACATTCTTCTGGACCACGATCAAGCTGATAGATGCGTTCCTAACCTGTGTTCGTCTAAGCCAAGAGCGTGCCTTCACAAGGGAGCTTTCGCTCCTTCGACTCGGGCGTCCTCTACCGAAGAATCATCCACTAGCTTCCGTTGCTGCGTTTATCCACACTGATAGAGTCCTCCAGGTCGACGGGTGGATTCAGCACTCTTCGCTGACCTACGACGAGCAGCATCCTCTGATCATCCACGGCTCCGGCACCCTATCTCGCCTCGTCTTGTCCTGGGCGCATTCTCGCGCGTTGCATGGAGGTTTCAGGGTCACCAGTGCTTACGTTGAAAGACGCGCTTAAATCATTGGCGGTACCCGTCGAATCAAGACTTTTTTTGCGGAGTTGTCTCCTTTGCGCTCGCTTGCGAGCACGGCCTGCGTCTCAACAGATAGCCTCCCTTCCTCGGTCCAGGATCACACTCTTTCGCACCTTCGGTCGTACTGGGGTTGACTATGCAGGCCCCTTTGACATACTCGCCACCAGAGGACGAGGAATCCGCACTTCAGAGGGGTACATCGCCCTCTTTGTGTGCTTGACCACGAAGGCCGTGCACCTCGAGCTGGTTGGAAATCTCTCTGCTGCCTCGTTCTTGGCTGCTTTCACGCGCTTCTCTAGTCACCGAGGCCGTCCGACCGAGCTATGGAGCGACAATGCCACCTGTTTTCGTCGAGCTGACCACGAACTCCGGGAAGCACTCCAGCAAGTCGAGCTGGAGGGCGAGCTCATCGCTGGGACCCTGGCTAACCAAGGCATCGATTGGCGCTTCATTCCGCCTGGAGCTTCTCACTTTGGTGGTATCTGGGAGACCGGCGTTAAGTCTGTCAAGGGACACCTCCGACGTGTCATTGGCAGCTGACACCTCACTTACGAGGAGCTCTCAACCATGTCAGTTAGCATCGAAATAGTGCTCAATAGTTGACCCTTGGTCCCACTCTCTGGAGAAGCCGATGACCTCAAAGTGCTCACGCCTGGCCATTTCATTACTGGAGCCCCTCTAAACTCTATCATCGAGGCCTTTCCTGTAGAGCAGTACCCCGACAGGTTTGCCTATTGGGAGCTTGTGCGCAGCCTTCGAGCTTAGTTTTGGGCCACGCCACGCCGAAATTTCGCTGTTGGAGACGTCGTAGCTGTCCTCGATCCTACTCTCCTTTTGGTGGTCGGCCACTGGCCTTTCGGACGGATCCTCCATGTGCACCCGGCCACGACGAGCTAGTTTGAGCCGCCGTCATCGGAACCTACACTGGCGAGTACCTCCGGCCAGTCACAAAGCTCGCACTCCTGCCGGTCGAGACCACGAGTGGGCATCCTTTATCACCTATCCACAGTGCTCCAGATGACACGCGTACGTGGGGCGGGTCTACTGTTTTGTTCCAGGAATAAGGTGAGCGGGATGTTTGAACCTCGTCCGGACCACTGTCTTGGCCGGTATTTAAATTGCCCGGTGTCACTAACCAATCGCCCATCCTGCATTTTGAAAAGGTCTCTAGCGGGAGTAGGGTGTGTGGTGCCCTCCGAGCGGTGGGCGCGTCTGAAGTGAGTCGTCTTTATAACGAATCAACACGGCATCACCGTTTTTTTCTCTTCTAGGTCTTGTCTCGACTACATAGTATTCTTTTACTTGAGACTTTACTTGTACCGAATTGAATAAACCGACTTACATGCTTGTGTTTCACGAGTATTTATCGTGATATCTCTCGAATATTATTTCTATTTTGGTGTACTTTAACATCAGCACATCAGGAAATAATATTCATTATGCTCATTAATACATTATACCCATTTATACTAGATTTTACTTTTTTTTCATGAAATAAAAAAAAGTATTGTTTGATATAAATTTGCTACTTGTGACTGAAAAAACTTATTATATTGGTTAAATATCTACTATTGTTAAAATAAACCCTTGTACCCTATAATTTTCTATCAGATGTTATGTATTCTTATTAGTTATTGCATCAACATCTTTTCTCCTACTGGTGGCGTTGTTTTAAATTGCTGTGCAAAGCAAATGGGACAGAAAATCAAAATCTATAAAATAATGGACACACTTATTTGTAGAACAACATATTGTTCATTTAAATTATTACTTTTAAACAGAATGTTATTTCTGTAATTTAAGACAATAATAAATATGTTACAGATAGATATATATTGGGTGGTGGATGAAGTGACACGAGTTACGCGAGCTCTGCTATTTTTATTCGACTCTGTGAAATCTATCTGTCAAAACATGTGTAGTGTTGATCAAAATAAGTTTTTTTTTACTGCTTATACCTTAGAATCGAGTGACTTTGGCTATTTCAAGCCTTTCTTTATCCTTTTTTGGCCTCTGACTATAGGGGCAAAGGAAAACTAACCTACAATGGCTTCTACAGTATCTAATAACACACCGCTCAGCTCCATCGTTCAAGGATCACACAACCCCACAAGAGACCAAGCAATTGTTGTCGATTCTGTTGACAGACATCCGATAAGAGACTACGTTATGGCAATTGCTAAACTTCTGGATCCAACGAAAGTTCTTGGTTTCTCCCGCATTGCTCAAGGCAGAGTCTGCTTCTTTCTTAGCAGAAAGAGTATGGTCGATGAATTGATAATAAATGAAAATAAAATTACTGTAGGTAACACAATATTGCCAATAAGGCCTCTAAATCCTAAATCTGTGAGAATATTTATTTCAAATGTTCAGCTCTGTATCCCAAATTCAGCGATTAAAAATGAACTGAAAAGGTTAAACATCAAAACTGTTTCAAACCTCCAGCATGTAAAATCCGGTATCAATATTCCAGAATTTTTCCACTGTCTAAGTTTCAGAAGACAAGTTTTTGTACATCCTGACTCTGAAAAAAACATTCCTCCATGTTTACAGATAGTCCACGAAGGAATCTTGTTTAACATATATTTGTCCTCCTCCAAAATGACTTGCGCCATATGCACTCAAGGTCATCTCGTCAAACATTGTAAAGAAACCAACAGTACCATCTCTCAATCGGCTCAAGAGACCTTAACACATGAAGTTGATAATGATATCACTACTGCTCTAAATGAAGCAGCCTCAATCAACTGTAACAATTGAGTATCTAAATCCACACCTAGCTTCAAAAATTATGCACCAGCCCGAAAAGAGTCAACTGAAGCAGTCGACTCTGGCTTCCAGAAACCGTATGTACCTAACTATACTACTCTTGCTATCAAAAAAGTGAAAAGACCTCCTCCATCTACTACGTCAGATGAGAGCCAGGTTAATCACCCTAAAAAATATCATACAATCATTGACCAGAGTTTAGAAAGTCACGCACTAAATCCAGAAGTACAAGGTCAGATGGCCATTACTCTCTAAACGGATGACGTTGACAATCAACTCCTACCAGCCAAGGAATTAATGGAAGACAATCAAGATAAATACT